GAGTCAAGGTCTCATATAGTCTAGGCTGGCCTTGACTTGTGACTTTGCAAGTTCAGCCCCTGAGCGCTGGGGCCACAGGCATGTGCCAGCATGTCTGCTTGTCTCTTCCACGTCTAAGGTACACATTCTCTTGGTTAATATTTTGGGGTATCAGGTGTCCCTGGTTTCAAAATGTTGAATATGTCATTTACCTGTGTCCTGACCTCAGCATTTCTGTTTAGAGATTCAGTCTTCTGGAAGCTCGCTGTGTGTGAAGTTACTTTTTCTGTCACTTTCAAGCTTTTTGTTTTGCTTAGACTTGGGATTTAATAATGTCTCTTGGTATAGATGTTTTGGGGCCTTATAAATCTGGAAGATTTTCCTCTCCCCTCTCAAGTTTTGGAAGTTTTCATTCATTCATTCATTCATTCATTCATTCATTCATTCATTCACAAACAGGGTGTCTTCGGGCCTTGACTAGCCTGAGACTTACTCTGTAGACCAGGCTGGCCTCAGGCTCACAGAGATCCACCTACAGAGGATCCCTATACCTGATGAGTACAGGGATTAGAGGTGCACACCGCCGTGACCATGCCTGGGTCTTTACTCCTTAGATGATCTTCCCCTGATCTTCTCTTTTTTGGGCAACCACAATGCATGTATTACTTTATTTTCTTGAATTTCATCTTTTCCCTCTCACTAGATCATATCAAAAGTGGCTTTGAATTGAAGTGTGTTCTATTTTATTGGCTATGATGGTAGAAGGCTCCATTGCTGGTCTCATTTTAGACACTATGTGATTCTCAGACTTTTAGATTTCTGTTTTTTTTTTAAGTGATGCTGATTTTTCCTGCACTTCTCATTTTATTCAAACATGCTTTTCCTAATTTCATTTTGTTGCCAGTTTTATCTTTTAGTCTCCTGATTTTTAAATTGAAAATACATTTTTGTACAATGTATTCTGATAATGTTTTCCTCTCCCTTATCTCAGATCCATCCTAGATCCTCCTCACCCGTCCAACTCCGTGTCTTCTCTCTCTCCTCCCTCTTTCCCTTCTTTCTTTCCTTTCTTCCTCCCTCCCTCTATCCTTCTCCCTTTCTAGAAATCGAACAAGCAAAATCAACCAAACAAAAAACCCAGAATTGAAAAAAACAAAACAAAGAAAAAGCACAAGAAGCACACATGCAGGCACGAGTGTGCACATACAGAGACACAGACACAGACACAGACACAGACACAGACACAGACACAGACACAGACACAGACACAGACACACCAGAAACACCACCACTACCACCACCACCACCACCACTCAAATAGAACCCATAAAAACATAGGAACAGAAATCATAATATGCAAAAGCAAAAGAGCAGTGAGGTGGCAAATTCTGAGACAAAGCAACAAATATAAGACAACAAACAAACAACCCCCAAAAAACCCTTCTAAGAATACCACTGAGTTCATTTTGTGTTGGCGATCTATTGCTGGGTGTGGAGTTTTCCTAAGTGGGGTCTATGTTCCAGTAAGACTTCACTGGAGACAACTCCCTTTTCTTTTGCAAGTGGTTATCAATTGGAGATGGCTTCTTGGTGAGGGATGGCACCTCATGTCGTGTCCACCTTCGCCTCTCAGCACTGAGATTTTATCTCGACTGGACAGGTACAGGCCCTGTGTGTGTTGCCACAGCCTCTGTGTTGGATCTGCTGTGTTTAGAAGGCCTTGTTTCCATGGTGTTCTCCATCTTTTCTGGCTCTTACAATCTCTCACCTCCTCTTCCATAAAGCTCCCTGATCCCTGAGGAGAGGAATTTGATGGCGACATCCCATTTAGGACTGAGAGCTCCAGGGCTATTTTGAAACAATGTCCAGTTGTGAGTCCTTGAATTAGTTCTCATCTACTGGAGGATACTACTCTGATGATGGTTACCTTATAGTTCATTAAGCTTTAAGATTGTTTTGAATTCTTTTTCAGTCAGTTCACTGATCTGCAATTCCTTTGTGGTAATTTACCCATCATATGAGTTTTATTATTTTCTGTGGCAACACTGTGAAGAAAACCACATTAAACACAAACACACAAATTAGGAAGGTGAATGCGGCAGCCACTGAAGCCAGAGCTGCAAGAGTCTGGCTCAGTGGAGGAGTAAGTACAAATTAAAAGAACAGTGGGGAAGGAAAAGGGAAGGTAAACAGACGAAGACATGAAGACAGGAGAAGCATCAGACCAGGCCATGAAGGTTGAAGGAGAAGGATACCAAGAAGGGTGGATCTCTTTCTGCTTCTGCAATTGCACTGCCCTCCTCTGAGGTGGGCAAAGCTAGTTGAGGCTGTATAGTTCATAGTGACATTGGGAGTTAACTGCATCCCTGCTCTGAGGCTGCCTGATCTCCATCTTGTCTCCCATTTCAGATCCTGCCTGCTTGTCTGAGGTAGCTTACAAGACTGCCCAGGAATGTGTCCTTACTGTGGCTAAGTTCAGCCTGACTCAGTCCTGGGTGCCAAATGCTGGCAGGTGCAGGTGCTTCTTTGATGCCTCTGAACACACCTGCTCCTGTGTTTGCTTGGACCCCTTTACTGCCCTCCGGTGGCTATGGGCTGTTTCACATCAAAAGCAGCATAGACTTCCCGGTTCTCAGACTTGGTAAATCTGTCTTAGGTGGTGAGGAAGAGGGTAAGAGGCCAACAGTGGATGAAATTGCCTGCAAGTCAGCCTTCATGTCTGTAACTTGTACAGTGAGCTGAAAACCATTACTCTATTGCCAGGAGGTTCAATTAGGGAAGAGACAAATTTTGTTTAGGAAAATATCTTGATCGCACACTTTAGGAATGAGACAGAAGAAACAAAAGTCAGAGTAAATAAAAAGCCAGTGGCACTGTGTGAAGTGGAGAGTGCAGAGTTGGAGGCGAGGATGGAGGAAGAGAGGACTCAGACTGAGGAAAGAGCCTTAAGCTGGCTTTTGCTCTCTCCCACAAGCAGAGCCGGCAACAATGAATCCCAGGACTTCTGGTTGTCTAACTCTAAACTCAGTCTGGAACTTTCAGAAAACCCCAGGAAGCTTTCCCTACTTACAAGTGCAGCCAAGGAAATCTTTGTGGGGCTAGGAGACAAAGGACTCTGAAGAATGAAAGTGGGGTCTCACGATCGGCCTCTGATTTGTTAGCGATGTACCTCTGTGATGTGGATTCTTACCCTCTGCTGCCCCTGAAAGTCTCAGTAAAGTCTGCTCACACACAAAGACTTCCTCTGAGGAGTCTGGGCAGAAATCACAATGGCAAGGCTTCAGGAAGCGGAGGAAGAGGTGAGGTTCTGCTGGAAGCAAGATCTAAGGAAGCTCGTGAACCCAACGGGGCCAGCTTGGTGATAACGGGAGCCACAGAGCTTGACTAGAGTACAGAGCTTCCCTCTCATCTTGCCTTTATTTCTAATTAAGAACGTATATAGTTTTATATAATAAGAACAGTTAGAACAGGTTCAAAGAAAACAAAAAGGGCTTCTACTACCGGCTTACTCACTTTTCCTGAGAGATAATATTTCATAACTGTAGTGATTTCATTTAGAATTTCAGAATATTGGTTTCTTTAAAAAACAGAGAAATATTAAGAATGTGCTTTCATTTTAACCCCAGGTAGGGAGGCGGGGCTGCTTTGGACTGTCCACAGCAGCTATGATTTGCCTCATGCTCTAGCAGAAGCGTAGCTTTGCCAGCTTCAGAAAATTTCTGCAATTGGGTGACATTTGGAATTCTGGGAACTTTTCAGACAGTACATAAATGGTCAGATCTCAGAGGCAGAGGAGGTGGTGATTGCTGATTATTTAGGGAGGTTGACTGTGGTTTGTTAGTAGCCATGTCAAAGGAGAAACAGAAAGAAATCAGATTCAGGGGTCTCTCTCTCTCTCTCTCTCTCTCTCTCTCTCTCTCTCCACACACACACACACACACACACACACACACACACACACACACACTATCCCTTCTCTCCTATGTAGTGTTGGGGGAAGAAACCAGGGGGATAAAGCACGGGAAAAGAAGAACCCACGAAGTAGCCAAGATCAGCTACATATAACCAGAGCGCATTTACCAAAAGCGAGGGATCTATGGCTGACCATTTGCATAGATTCTTTGGATTAGATGAGTGTCCTGCTAATGTGTTGTTGTGGGTTCAATCCAGTGTCCCACAATGCTTTTAGCACTGCAGCCCTAAGAGAGATCCTCTGTCATACTGAACTGTGACAGACCAGAGGCTTTGGTTTGCTTACCACGACTTTGGTATACTTAATGAAATGTTGGGGAGGGGATTTCTTTTTGGGACACAAGGGAAACAACTTAGTAACCCCTGCTCCAAGTGCCCACCAACTTTCCACCTGGGCAAGTAGAAATTTCCACTTACAACTTAAGCTTGTCTCCCAAGAGAGTACTCCCAACAAAAGCTTAATGTATCTGTTTTCCAGCCCTCTGGCACCACCTTCCTGGCATTTCCTGTGTCAGGCTGGTGATTGACAGGCCTCCATCACTGCAGCCTCACAGCCTCAAAACAGAGAAAGTAGAGTTGCTACACCATTCTATATGTGCCTAATCTAGACCCAGAGCTGAGAGCACGGCCAGGATGATACAGTTGAGTTGGTTATGGTGGTAGAGCAGGGCTGCAACCCAGGCCTGTCCCTCTCTAGGAATGCATACCACTTGACAGAGGTCAGGGTACCAGGATGGCACCTTCTGTAGTAGACAATGCCATGGTGTTTAAGTTAGAAAATTTGGAACAGGCAGTGTCACCGAAATAGTTCAGGAGCAGGCATCACACTGTGCTGGATTCCTGACAATACCTGGGGATAAGTAGAGTCCCACAGCACGCCCCGATTGTCAAAGCACCCTGGGTGATTCCCTCAGAACCCCGAATGCTGGCTTCTGGCTCCTGTGTACACAGGTTGGATCGGCATGCATGCTGTAGCTCTTCCATTCTCTCTTAGAAACTGGACAAGGGAGGTCACTTGTGGTATCCCAGGGCCCGTGTGTTTTCCTTACCAGGCTTCTTATTGCTATCCCTGCTGAAGTTGCTAGAGATCATGCTCAGACTCCTGCTCTTTTTGTCTGTTTCAGTCCCCTTGCGGTAAATGCTGGATTCCTTCTTGACAATACGAAGTTGGCTCTTGGAAAGCAGGACAGAAGTTATGCTCTGCTTATAGAAGTTATGCTTGCTCAGCATCCTCTAAACCCAAACTGAGAAATGCCCACAGCTTGCTTGAGGACCTGGCCTGAGCCCAGGAAGAGTTTAAGGGGACAGAAGTGTCCTCCATGCTGGCTCCTTTTCTCATAGGGGTACATGCAGCCTATTCTTGCAGGCAGATCTGGGATACCCTTTAGGTACAGGGCTGAGTGTCCCCTTGGCTCCTGGGCCCTGGCAGCATGGGGTGTGGAGGGATGTGGGTGGAGGAATGTGAGACACTTGCCCTTAAACTGGACTTCAGGAAAGAAGGGGTTGATGGTAAGGCTGCAAAGGAGGGTGTGTGTGTGTGTGTGTGTGTGTGTGTGTGTGTGTGTGTGTTGGGGTATCATGAGGGAGAGAGGTATCTTGGGGTCTTCGTAAATCATGTGGCAGACACCACAGCAGAGGAATAGCTGTAGGGGAGGCAGAGAGGTGGTTACCTTGTTGAAGGTCACTTTGCGGCCGACTTTGTCTGGCTTCTTCTTAGCACCTGTGCTTTTCTTTCCTACCTTCTCTTCTGCACCCTTTTTCTCTTCCTTCTTTTTCTGAAAAGGCAGGATAAAGGTCTCTGCAGCCATCCTGTGAGGGTTCTACCCACTGTTTCTAAATAGGAGGACATACCTGGCAAGTTGGAAACCAAGCTTTAGTACCAATACTCTAGAGCCCTTCACTGTCCCTTGGCCTCTGGACCACTCTGACATCTACCCCTGGTATCCTTGACAAGACCCCCAAATGACCCCAGATTCCTAGGAGTTGGCTTCCCTGCTCCCACTAACAGATATTTTTGGTGTGTTTGTGATGTGTGTGTATTCTTATGTGTGTATGCAGATACTTGCTCATGATAGTAACTGTGGGAGGCTACAGAAGTCAACGTCCATCTTCAAATTCTTCTCAACCTTATTTTTGAGACAGGGTTTCTCACCGAGCATGGAGCTCAACATTTAGGCTAGGTTGTCTGGCCAGCAACTCCTCAGAATCTTTATTTCCAGACCCCTGTGCTAAGATTTAAGGGTGGGGGGGTCACCATGTCTGGCTTTTTATATGGATGGATTCTGAGATCTGCTCTTGAACATTGTCTGTGACCTGTGATGGCTTTGCTGTTCTCTAGTGGGAACAGAGAGGACAGTTCCTGGGGATCTCCAAGTTTCTATGGACAAAGAGCGTCTCAGAGCACATTTAGGATAACACCACTGGGAAGAAGCCTATTCAGCCTTATGAAGATGGGGAGAGGATGCTGAACTATTGTGGGAAAGATCAGCTTGAGCAGCTTCAGAGTATGCCACTTGTGGTTTCCAGGGTTGGATGGCCCAGTCTTTCAGTTCCAGGTCACCTTGCCCCGTCACTTGCTTAGTGGCTGCACTACCCTGGGCAAATGCCTGCTCTCTCTCTGGTTCAGTTTAGGGTCCATGAACAATAACTGCTCTCTGGATGTGCCATGAAGACCCTGAGAGGGCTGTGGGCTGATTGCTGAGCTGGCAAGGAGCAACACAAAAAATATCTAGGGTTTATCTGTTTTAGTTTGTTTTCTATAGTTTTCATAAAACTCCATGACCAAAAGCAACTTGGGAAGAGAGGGTTATCTATCTTATATGTCTTTCCACCATAAAGGGAAGTCAGGACAGAAACACAAGCAGAAACATAGTGACAGGAACTGCTGTAGAGGCCATGAAGGAATGCTGCTTATTGGCTTGATTTCCATAGTCTGCTCAGCCTGCTTTCTTAGAGCATCCAGAATCCTAGTGCCTAGGGCTGGCAACTGCCCACGGTGAGCTGGTCCCTCCCACCACAATCAGTCAATAAAATGTCCTGCATATTTGCCTACGTGCTAGTCTGATGGAGGCATTTCTCAGTTGATGTTGCCTCTACTGAGATGATCCTAGCTTGTTTTAGACTGACAGAAAAACTACCCGGCACAGTATTTAAGGCCAGGAGTCATAAAGCTGCCTTCCAAGGAGGGCAGCTAGTCCACGTCAGCATGGTTTTGTATCGCTTAGTGGAAAAAGGAGTTAGAATTTGGGCCAAGGCTGGATTTGCAGGTGGAAAAAGGGATAGGGTATTTCCTTTTCCAGGGTGCACTCTGACACTCAAGAACCCATGTCCTCACAGGGTCACTCAGAACAGTTCTATTTACAGTGGGTTTGGGGGATTGCTGGGAATGCGATCTGGTAGAGCCTTAGACTCAAGCAACGTGCCGAAGACAGTAATTCTAAGTCCTCTGTGACGGAGATATTTCTGGATCTCAAGGGCTTGTCAGCCCAAGTGCCCTTGGTGCCAGCAGCATCATGAGGAGTCTGGAAGGGAACTGTGCTGTTCAGTCAGGACGGAGAGTCACCTAGGAGGTTAGCAGAGCATGTCTCTGTGTGTGTCTGTGATATTTCCAGAGACAGTCAGATCCTAAGGGATCTGACCCAGTCAAGATTCATCTCTTGATGAATTCATAACATGATGATTGAGTAGTGGGGCGAGTGGGGGTTAGGACCCACTGAGAGGAGTAGGTTCCAGGGGGTATGTAGTAAGGGTAATATTCTACCCTTCCCTTTCTGGTGTTTTCTCTTCTCCCTGCTGTCATGATGTGAACTGCTCTTCTTCACTGCACACTCCCCACTATGCACTCCCTCCCTGCAATTTCTGTTAGGTGTTGCCACAGTGCATAGGGAGTCACCTAATTAGGGGCAAAGTCAGAGTTGCAGGCCTGACCCAGTGAAAGAGGAATGGAGAACAAGGATCTCCTCCCATGAAAGACTTGTCACCTGTCTTCAGAAATCTAGATGCTTCTGGGGCACACAGTGAGGGATGGAGGTTTGTGTTTTAAATGTAAATTTGCTTCCTCCATAGTTTCAAATTATTTATACTGAAGCTATGTGCAAGGCAAAGCCACTGAAACGCTAGAATATAATCTCTCTGAAAGGAGATGGGGACCTATTAACCTTGAAAAAAAAAAGAGAGTTCCAGAGACTGACACTGAATTTTAAGAGATCCAGCAGCTAGCCCTCCACCACCCTCAACCCCAGATGATGGGACGGGCAGGCTATAGGAGGTCCTTCTGGCTGCATGAGAGGAGTAAACAGACGAGCAGGCAAGCATCTGCTGAAAGCAGAGCATGGACTGCAGAGAGATCAGAGGGAACTGTAACAAAGCTCAGATGCAGAAACTGACTAAATCTGAACTTGAGATATTGCCCTGTGCTTTCCTAACGCTGTGACTTTTGTTGGTCGAGTTTCCTTGTTTTTTATCTGTAGGTAATCATGGTCCTTGGCCATATAGCCTGCCTAGAAGTGCACAGCAGCACAGAGTAGGATGACTGCCATTCTTAGTCATGTCATCATTATGGACAAGCCCTGGGACTGTAGGCTCTAGGATCCAAGCATCCTTTCTGTCTGGGAGATGTTGTCTCTGAGTATCTTCTGAAGAGGGTCCCACTTTCTGTAGGCCTGACTTGATTTTCATAGACGATGGGGCCAGGGGACCTAAGCTCTGGGGCAAATTTAATATCTAAGATTCCTGGAGAGAGAGGATCGGGCTGGTGAGAGCAGCCCCTGAGGTGGGGGAAGAGGGAGGTATATACTAGTAGGAGTCTCAGTGTGGCTACAGGAGTAGGAATGAATGATCTATCCCAGAGGAGGGAAGGTCTGGAGACAGTAGAAGGGCTCCTGTCCCTACATGGAGAACCCATAAGCCAATGCCCACGACTGTTTCCAACTCTGAGAGATATTAGCAATGTCCACAGTCTGATCTAACTTTAGAGACTTCCTTCTAACTACAGACTCTGACTCAAGCACTTTCTAGAGTGTCTCCTTCAGATCACTTGTATTTGAGCAACTTCTTTGTCTTTCCCTCTGACAAAGGGAAATCTGTTAGCCTCGTCCTACATTTTCTATAGAGAAACATCTATAGAGAAGCATCTTTCTCAAGGACCAGGAGCCATTCTCTAAAATACGGTCACTAGGAAAGATTGTAATCCTGTCGTTGATAGGCTAGGAGGAGCCCAATCATGATAACTGCCATCAGGAAACAAGGACAGCCTATCTATGGTGAGCCATCTCTCCTCTAGGACTTGTCCACTAGCTTACTCCAGTGCTTAAAAAATGGTCCCCCTTTGTTTGGAGGTGTTGAATTCCAATTCTCTTTCCTGTTAATAATTTTGCATAGTCTTCCAGCAAATTCTTCCATTGTACTCACCTGAAGGGCACGGTTCTTGCCCTGCCTCCGCTCCAGCCATTCCAGCACCCGGGTAAGATCAGACATTCGTCTCTCCTCTGCTGTCCTCCAGAAGGATTTCCTCTCAGTGGGCATCAGATTCTCGGTGTCTTCTATTTCTTCTGTCATGTTGATATCTTAGATGTGCCCTACAGCAGAGTCTGTCACTCTTCTCTGAGTCCCTGGTTGGCTAGTATGGGACTCAGAGGCAGGATGTGGCCTCTGGATGTAATGACAAAGGACAGAAGCAGGAAGCAAAGGGCTATTGGCAGTGAGGATAGAAAGTCTACAGAGTGATTGTGATGTCACTGTTGACTTAGCAACTGGCCCCTAGGTCAGGGGGTCAGAGTGGAGGTAGGATGTAAGCTACTTACATGAGAGCATATCTTATCTCTGGTTTCCTGTTTCCCCTGAATTCTAAGGTCTCTCTGTTCACGTTATGTGAGATTTTTCCTGAGGCTATGTAACACAAATGTTTATTCACCCAAGAGAAGGAACCAATAAGAGACCAAAATAACAATTGTACCGAAGTTTAAATTAGCTAGCCGATGAGTTGATTTAGGTGTATGGCAGAGGACTTCCTTATAAGAGTGGTTAAGACTCACAGGTATCTGAATCACTAAAAGCCAAGCCCACCTCAGCACCTGCTTGTGATTGACAGCTCATAAACACGGCAACCTGGGAGCTGCCTGCTCAATCCCTGGCAGGTTGTTCATAGGTCAGCAGGCCTCTTCCTGGCAGTTCTGCCTCCTCTTTGTTCCTCTCAAATTGCTCTATCTTTAAGACTTAGAAAAAATTTAGAGATAATATAATCATTTCTTCCATCCCTCCCCTAGACTCTTCCACATACTTCCCCATTGTTTTATTTCAAGTTCATAATCTTTTAAATTGCTATGATTATGTGCATATTTTCCTAAATTATATATATATATATATATTTCTAAATATAAAAATACAACCAGTTCACTGTATTAATGTTACTTGTATGCATGTTTTCAGGCTGACCATTTAGTATTGACCAACTGGTGTGCTCTTCCTGGGGGAAGAAGATTTCTCCTGCTCTCAGCGTTCCTTAGATGTAATTCTGTGTGTATGGTTAATGCCCTATGCGATTTCCCCTGGGCATATTAGCATGTCTATTGGTATCATCCTTGTCCTTATTTTGCTCATGTTAGGGCAGCCATATTGGTGAGACCTCATGGGCGTAGATTCTGACATTTCCAGAAAATACAGTTGTTATGAGTATATTACCAGAGATGACCACTCAGATACAGCTTATAGCAAACTGAAAGTCTTTATTTCAGTCTTCTGAGTCTACATTCAAATAAATAGGGACCTTGGTTTAGCCCCGAGTATCTAGAACACAGAGTTTTGGAAGGCAAAAAAAACCAGATTCTGACATCTTGCTCTGTAGCTGCAGGGGAGTTTCATAGAAGCAAGCATTTTAACAGCAGCTAAGATAAGTGGTTAGCTGGAGGGGTTTCTGCACAAACAGGCAGGTTAAAGGAAGCCAGGATAAGGTAGCTGACCTTGGGTCCCTAGACTAACTTTTCCATGGGATTCTTCATCAAGGAGATAAAAAGGTTCTAGTTAAACCTGAAATGGCCTCCATCAGAATACAAGATGGAGGAAATTCTGCATTGTCTAGCCCTGTTGTGCAATTTCCCAGCAAATTACCTCTTCCCCTGGATCTTAGAATCTACCTGCCCCATCTTCTATAGTGACCTCTGAGACTTAGGTTTAAGAGTTGTATTGTAGATGTATCATTTGGGACTGGGATCCACAGCTCTGCATTTTGATTGGTTGTGGTTGTTTTAGTGATGGCCTCTATTTATTGCAAAGAGAAGTTTTCTTGATAAGGGGTTAGGACTACACTTATCTGTTGGTGTAAGAACAAACATTTAGAATACAGTTTGGAGTTATGCTGGTCTAGTAAAATGGAAGTTGTAGGTTCTCTTCTAAGATCCATGATTTTACTAGCCCTGGCTAGGTTTCCAGTAGCAGGCATGATTTCCCTCTTGTTGAACAGGTTGTAAGCCCAATTAGGAAGTTGCTTTTTTTACTGTCAAGGTATGCACCCCACTACTATATCTTTGGGGTCATTGAGCAGTGCTAGTCACTGTTCATAAGCATCATAGCTGGGTAGGATTATTGTTTTTTCCCCCTTCTTTGCAAGTTTGCATGATGCTTTCTGGTACCCTGAAAGTTAGTCTGCAGAGAAGGCTTTCAGAACAGATCTAGCTTATGGCATCTGAGCCATAGATCCAAAGTGTAAGGTGTCTTCAGCAATAGAGACTTATACTTCTGGGAGGCAAACAAGGGCAACATCAATAGCCCATAATATTTTTGGAGTCTCTTGGACAATGCTCAAGATTGGTGTTGGGGTTTTTGTTGAATGGTCCATGGCTCTGGGGGAAGCATTGTATAAATAAATATAATTTATTTCAATTATATTTGTATATCTATATACTATCTTATGTGTATCACAGCTATTTTTAGGTAGGTAATTAAAGTATGATTTTTTTATGACTTTTCCAGACAAACCTTGCTATTATTTTACCCTCCCATTTCCTTTTTCTGTATTTTTCTCCCTCATCCCCCAATAATTAGAGTCTGCCAAGGTCCAGCCTTGGCTAGGCTGGGGTTCCTGAGAGAATGGTGTCTGGGAGTGTGAAACAAACAACTTGAAGTCAAACTGTGGGTCCAAGATGACAGCCTGTGTTCTGCCCACGATGACTTCCTAGATAGCTCTCTGTAGACAGCTCTTGGTTCTGTAGTCTGCTCCAGATAGCTTTCTGCTTGAAACAGCTTTCTGGAGACAGCTCCCTGACAGACTGACTCAACTCTTCCAGATTTGAAAAAATTCTAAATGCCCTCTGGATAGGTCATCGGTTTTCCCATCAAAGTCAGAAAAGCTGATATAAAAAAAATTGTTGGATTTCCCAATTAAGTCAGAAATCTCATTGGGAAAATTCTAAAAACAATTCTTGGGTTTTCCAATCAAAATAAAAAAGCCAGAAAAAAATCCCAAAAGAGCTGTGTTTGCTCTTCAGACAGCTTTCTCTGGATAGCTGCTAGAAAACATTCGAAAAGATCTGTGTTTACTCTCCATGGATTTTCCAACCAAAATTAGGAATCCTGTTAGAAAAAAAATTTCTAAAAGAGCTGTGTTCACTTTCCAGAGATCTCCAGGTAGCTCAGCTCTTGCTAGGAAGAACTGCTTTGAAGGAAGAAGGAACTGCTATGGCTTTCTTTCTTTCTTTCTTTCTTTCTTTCTTTCTTTCCTTCCTTCCTTCCTTCCTTCCTTCCTTCCTTCCTTCCTTCCTTCTTTCTTTCTTTCTTTCTTTCTTTCTTTCTCTCTTTCTTTTTGGTTTGGTTTTTCGAGACAGGGTTTCTCTGTGTAGCCCTGGCTGTCCTGGAACTCACTCTGTAGACCAGGCTAGCCTCAAACTCTTGAACTCAGAAATCTGCCTGCCTCTACCTCCCAAGCGTTGGGATTAAAGGTGTGTGCCACCACCGCCTGGCTCCACTATGGCTTTCTGCTATCTCATTTCATACACACCAAAAGCCTTGTTTTTTAATTTACATATCAATTCAGCCATTTACTCCAGCTTTCTTCTTGACCATCCCATGAATCAGCATTTCCCCTCCTAAAATTACCATTCTGACCACCCCTAGACCTAAATTAGCTCTTTCAGGCTAACCTTGAACTCAGGAATCTGTCTGCCTTTGTAAGCACAAACAAAAACTTAGCTGGGTGGGATCTTGTCCTGTGATCACTACTCTCTAAATCTCTTTATCCCTTTCCTTAGTACCTTTCTGACAAGCTGGCTCATAGTGCAGCTGCCTCTGTTCCTTTAGATCTGTGAAGCTCCTTATACAGTTCATATTGAATTTTGCATGGTTGACAAATTATATATATATTTGAGCTCATATTTTCAGAGTTCTTTCCCACAGCCTTAAGGACTGTCCTGAAGGTCACAGTGTTGTACCATTTGGCTGAAACATTAGCCACACCCTCAATTTCCAAACTCTTGCTGTCTCTAATTATCATGGAGTCATTAACTTTGGCAGAGAGTGAAGACCTCCAGTCAGGGGAGACCCACACTCAAATCTCGGGATGACACGACCATCTAATAACTCGCAAGACACCGAAACTGGACGCAAACCGCAAAAGGCTTTATTTCCGGATTTCAGGGTATCAGTCAACTGAGGCTGATGCTCACAAGGAGAAAAGGAGAAAACCGCAAACCAGGGTGAGGAGGGGGCGAGGGGGTTGTTAAGGAGACATAACATAAAAATAGTGGAAAATTCCAGAGGAACCCGACCTACATGAGTCAGGGTCATATGAAAAACACTCTGTGTACCTATTCTTCTCAAAAATGTGGTCCTGTCCTGTCACTGCGGCCTTGCCCTGTCATTGTGGTTACCAGCTTCCTGGTTCCACCTAGCTGACTTGCATTCTTTTCTTCTCTTTTTGTAGTTAGCCAGTTCTCATAACTAGCCTGTCCACATTCTTAGCTTGCTCCACATTCTTAGCTTGCTTCAGAGAGAATTTTCCATGCCCTTTTAAAGAAAAACCTAAGGAAGAATCTATAGATCATTTTATAAAATGATCTTCATAATTTTTCACTCTATAAGAGGACAGTCCTCAAAGGAGGAACATGAAAATATGCACATTACTAGACAAACAAGCTGTGTTAGTTAGATTTTCATTGCTTTGAAAATATACCATGACCAAGGCAACTCTTATAAGAGACATTTAATTGGAGCTAGCTTATAGGTTCAGAAGTTCAGTTTGTTATCATCATAGCAGGAAGCATGATAGCATCAATGCAGGCATGGTGTTGGAGAAGGAAGTGAGAGGTCTACATCTTTATCCAAAGGAAGCCAGGGGCAGACATTTTGAACAAGGGTAAAAAGAAGCCACCATTTTTCACCAAAACACACAAAACAGTCTCTAGGCCACATACTGAAATTCTCCACTGAAACCTGTTGGGCTAGGTCTGCACAGTTCAAATCACTCTCAGCAAAAAAAGTCTTCGATAATTCTTACTAGAATAGCCCATTATGCCTCACCTAAAGCATTCCTCTGCTTTCCAAATCCAAAATCCCCAAATGTACATTTT